GCCGGGCCGTCGCCCTCCCTTCAGGGTCGGGGCGGGAGGCGGGCTGTTCCCCGAGCAGACAAACGCGTCCCCGCGAGGAGGCTGTCGGGGTGAGCTTACGGCCGTGTCGGGCTCCGTGCAGCGCTTTCGACGTGGCGGTGGTGGGCGCGGGAATCGTGGGGCTGGCCTCCGCCCGGGAGCTCGTCCGGCGGCACCCCTCGCTCGCCTTCGCCGTGCTGGAGAAGGAGAAGGAGCTAGGTATGGTGCCGGTGTGTCTTCCTCGGCCGTGTGTTTGGGGTTACCTGGTGTCAGTCTGTCAGAAGTCTTTACTGAAGCACACACTCGCCAAAACCTCAGTGTTTCATGAACATTCATGTAAAGGGAAGCTCTGCTTTTGGGTGGGTGAGCAGCAGTGGAAGAGCGTCTGCCCTTGTTGCTGAGATGGGTGATGGATTCCACATCCCCCCCCCGGGAAGAGCATCTTCAGTTTCCAGGCTCCGCTGGCTTTGCCCTGATGGGGGATTTCTTCCTCCCTTCGCCCAGGGACGCGTCCTTCAGTGGAGAAGCAGAGTTGTCGTCAGTCTGTGCTTCGCTGCTGGGACTTCAAGCTTGGACTTTGAGTTAAGAGAGACTGAACATTGCCGCTTCATTGTTGGAAGGCAGCAGGTCTTACTGGCCTGGGGCTCCAGCAGCAGCAGGGGTTTCAGGGAAAAGGACAAGGAGGGTGAAAGACTCAAGTAAGGAGCAGTGCAGATTGCAAAGGGACAAGGGCAGGTCTGGTTTAGCGCTGCACGGAGCAGGAGGCAGGGAGGATGAGCTGAGAAACGGTGCCAGGATGGCTTTTTGGTGGGATGTGAGGAGAAGAGTAAACAGCAAACAGTGATGCTCGGTGGGTAGAGAGCGAGGGTCGGGAAGTAGAGCTGCTTAAAAATGTCTGGGAGCTGCTGGTCTGGGCAAAGTCTGCACCTGTCTGTTAATTGCCAGAACTGTAAACCACAGTCATTTGCCCCGTGTTTCTGGATATCCCTGTATGTGCTGTGCAAGGTGCTGTCATTTGCATGGCAGGTCGAAGGTAAAGAACTAACACAGGGGTAACCGGGACGATATCGCTAGTTACTGACCCAGCATTAGCCAGAGTAAAATGGCACAGCTCCCAGTGTTGCCTGCTTACACAGGAAATCTTGAGGCACTCTGCACCTGGGCATCTGTCCTGGCTTTGAAATAAGAAAGAACGAGCCCTGTTGCTTCATTGAAAGCTTTTCTGGCTCGCTCAAGTACAAGCACAGGTTCATCGCAAGTGGTCTTTTCACACCAAGTGCTTATGCAGATACGTAGTCAGTTGGGGTAGGTAGGAGCAACCCCAAGGGATCGCGTCAGTGGCTAACTCAAAATAAGACCTGTGAGCCCAAGCTCTCGCTTTAAATAGCCCCATCAGCCAGGCTATACATTGCTCTTGAGATGTTACGTGATGATACGAAGTGGCTTTTTATCCCCAAGATGGGACATACATGAAGTCCTTAACAGTTGTGTGAGTGCAAAGCAGGAATGACCTTTGGGAGTCAATATGTTAAGAGGGAGAATGTGCCCAAATTACTTCAATAAAAATGTTTATGATATTTTTCACCTCTATTTTACTTAGTTACAAAGAGGAAATAGCAACCTAATCCAGTTCACAAATACTTGAAAAGCCTACCAGGCCTGCCAGCACATCCAAAGAAATTGAGGACTGCACAGACATTATGTTAGATGAGGCCTTGAAGGATGCCTTTCATTTTAAAAATTGAATTTCTTAATGAATTTTAACATGTAGAAAATTTTGATTGATTGGCCTGCAGTTGTAGCTCTTGGAGGGAAAACTTGTGATTTTTTTTTTTTTCTTCTTTTTTTCTTTCCCCTGTTGAGTCAACACATTGCAAGCTGTGATGGTTTATGATTAACTAGGTCTTTTTGTGTCAGTATTTTTCTGGCCTTTTGAGACCAAGGGAGGAATTGTGTTTGCTGTGCAGTTACCTTATTTGAGCGTCTCTTCTTGTAATGCTGATTTAGGGCAGTACCACAAATTGCTCACTCTTCTGACAGCTGAAGTAATTAAGGTATGAACCAATCATGGGAACGTGTATTTTAATAACATATTTTTCTTTCTATTTAGCTCATCACCAGAGTGGACATAACAGTGGTGTGATTCACAGTGGAATTTACTACAAACCTGGATCTCTGAAAGCTAAGCTGTGTGTGCAGGGTGCAGCCCTCTGCTACGAGTACTGTGACCAGAAGGGAATACCGTATAAACAGTGCGGGAAGGTATAGGAACTGCTGTGTGTTCTTACTTTACCTTTGGAAACTGAGACTGTATAACATATGTTACAATGCATAGCATAGGCCTGGTCGTGGTCTTTCTCCCAAGAGCTTACTTTCTGCAACACTTACTACCTTCAGGATGAATGTGCCCTTTTGTTTTCTTCTTTCCAGCAGCTCAAACCAGTTCCTTTTCTGGGCCTAAATATTAATTCTCCTTATCTGGGGGCTGAGCTGAAATAGCCCAGGTAACGGCGGAAGCCAGGCCCCGTGGAGGGGCACCCGTGTACAGCCACTAGCTCCAAGGACCACAAAAGCTCTCGGGATGCGCATGCCATACTTCTTGGCATATCAGGCTCTGAAAAGACACGGTGACTTGAAAACAGCTTCAGATGTGACCCAGCTACATGCGTTTATGCCATGTTACGTCCAGCTAACACAACCTGAAATGCTGAGGACAGAAGAGTGGCTGTACTGATTCAGCTTGGGGTCTGCCCAACCCTATATCCTGTTTCTGGAAGTGTCTATAAACAGAGACCCAGGAAGGAATGAGAACAGAACAAGCAAATTATTACTTCTCCCAGCTTCCAACTGTTTTCAGCTCAGGTTATTTTCTGAGCCTGATCTGTTCTCTCTCTAGTGACTCGCAATGGATTTCTCTTCCAAGTGCTTTTCAATTAAAAGCTTTTGCATCAGAGCATACTTTGACGAGCAGTTCCAGAGATCAACGACCCACTGTGTGAAGAGTTACATCATTTTGAAACTGGCTCCTACAAGCTTCATCTGATGGCCCCTAGCCCTTGTGTTGGAAGAGGTGGTGAACAGTTGATCTGTGCTCACACTCTCCAAGTTGCACATAATTTTATATCCCTTCCTCCCCCAAAGTCGTCCCTTCCAGCTGGTGAGTCTTAGCCTGCTCAGTCATTCCTCTTAGAGAAGCTTTTTCATGACTCTCCCCACCCTGTCTTCATTCTCTGAACTGTTTCTAGTTTAATGCATCTTTGATACAAGATGAGGACCACAACTGCGCACAGCATTCAAGGCGTGGTCAGGCTCTGGATTTTTGCAGTGAAGTAGTAGAGTTCTCTGTCTTATCCTGTATCCTTTTCCTAGTTGTTCCTAACATTCAGTTTAGGGCTTCTCAGCTGTCACTAGCCATTGAGCTGATGTTTCCATAGGATTGTCTATCCTAACCCCAAGATCTTGGTCCTGAGTGATAACTTTGAACGAGGATTCCGTCATTTTATACGTGAGGCTAAGAGTGCTTTTTCTGTGATCGTCATTTCACATTTATCTGCATTGAATTTCATCTGCCATTTTGTCAGTCGCTCGTTCACCTCAGAAGGTCCCTCTGCAGTTCTTTACGGTCAGCTCTTGTCTGAACCACCGTGAGTCACTTCAGACCATCATCTGACCTTCTCACCTCCCTGCCCCTTTCCAGGTTGCTCATAAACATCTTGGACAGCATGAGCCTTTCTCTTAAAAGTGCGATGCAGACCCTATCTGATGTGACAAGCTCCATTTCAAGGCCTCCTAGCTCAGCGCCCGCTGAGACCTGGGTGCAGATCTCTCCCAGCTCTGGGGCGCGGAGCAGAGATCCCTGGATGTGGCAGTGTTGATGGGCCCTGCACCGGTGCGGGTGGTGTTTGTCCTGGCCTGGCTGCGCGCAGTGCTGTGTTCGTGCTGTGCTCCCTGTGCTGCAGCGCTGGTCACAAGATGGCACTGTGGATTTGTGCAGCAATACACCTGAAGTTACAAGCCTGCTCTCAACTCAAAGCACCAAGGCGTGTGGTGCGCTCTGCAGGACTCAATTTGGGCTCGGGCAGGGCTAGTGCTGACCCAGCAGCATTGTTGGTCTTTTGCTGACACTGAATTTGTGTACTTCTGCATCACCTTCCCCAGCAGTGTTTATTCCAGGGAAGATGATGTTGAGGCTTTACAGCCAGGCTTGGAGAACTTAGTGCCTTCTCAATGCAAAGCTGCCTGTGTTGCCAGACCTGAGCTAGGCCTGGAAGCAGTACGGTCTGTGCAAACCTGGCACAGATAATTCACAGTCTGGATAAATCTCTTGTGATAGTTGTGAGCTAACTATGTGGTTAAATGAAGTGAAGCTGGTACAATTCGGTTTAGACACCATGTCAGAACACGTCCTTACTCTCTTATCAAGACTGTTTGAGATTTGTACATCTTCGGTTAAGTTCAGTTTTATTTTTGGAAGCATCCCAGTGGCTCTTTAAAATCATATTCTCTTCTTTCACATTCAGATTTGTAGGCTCATGGTACTTTTAGCAAATACTATCCATTGATAGTAACTTAAGCTACATTTTAACATTTTTTTTCCACTCTTAATATATTAGTGCTTTCTCAGTAATAATAGGTGTTTATAGAATCTTGTGCAACTAATGGCACAAACCACAGTTTCCTCCCCTTGAATTATAATTCACTGTTCACTCATTCACTACTGCTTGCTTGTTAGCTTGGCCTTGACACCAAACCTGAACTGGCTTTGTATATTTTGCTCACTGGTGTGCCTTGTTATCTTTTTCTGAAGCTAATCGTAGCCGTTGAACAAGATGAAATTCCAAGACTCAAAGCTCTGTATGAAAGAGGGCTGCAGAACAACGTCCGAGGGCTGAAACTGATTGGAGCAAAAGAAATACAAGCGAAAGAACCCTTCTGCAGGGTAAGGGATTTGCTTATTTTTATTTGGCATGTAAGACCTCAGTTTCTCAGGTGACGTTATTTTTTAATTTAACATAAATATGTTTCTGGCCTTGAGGTAATTTGCGTGGGTGACAAGTTCAAAAGAGCCTGAAAACCCAGAAGAAATATAATTGCCAACAAAAATAAATGTATCCATTTATTTCTGGAACTTTGTAGCTCCTCCCAGTCCTTCATGTGCCTTTGCCATTGCATACACATCAGACCTGATCTAACACAACATAAGGTGATCCTGCAGCATCTTTCTTGGTGACACTTACGTTCACCTCAGGTTTCTTCTGTTCACCTGTTCTCATTCTCTTGCTCGTCAGTTCATAGTTCATCAATTCTCCGTGTGCTGAAGCCATAAAGAGCTGCTGCTGCACTAATTGCAAATGATGGGCTGGCTGTATCATAAGGGCCAGCATTCAGAAATTAGAGAGCAGGTAATCCATTTCAGTTGCAGCCTACAAAAGGAATCGGAATTATTCGAGTCAAAGTAGGAGACTCTATAGTCCCTTAGCCCCTGTGCAGGCAAATGGACAGAGCCTACAAGTTGTTCAAACTTCATCCTTTTCCCAGCTTTACACAGAGGTGTCATCCCTGATGTATATGCTCAGGAACATGTGGTTGCCCCCCAGTTCTCCCACCAATGACAATGAGTGATTTTTATTTATTTATTTATTTGTTTGTTTTAATCTTTAATTTTTTTCCCCTTCTCCTTGCGGGTGCTTACTTGTGTGTTTTTGTGGTTGATAGGCAGATTTTCCTTTGCCCAGGTTAGAGCTGCTATGTCTGAGTTTATGCTGAGATGATTCTGCTCCTTCCCAGTAAAATTATTTAACTTACAGTAAAGCTTGATAGTGCAGCAATGAAAATTCCTTCCCATCTGTAAGTGCGGATTTGGATTGAGCCAATTTCAATCCAGTTGCTTCCTACACATGTGATGGTTAGGTAGCACTTAGGTAGCACTGTGTTTATTTTCACAGCAGGAGAAATGTGAGTAGCTTACGGAATACAGATTTGTTGTTGTTTAGTGTATCTTTGATTGAGAGGAAAATCTGGGTATAAATTCCCCATACTGTTTCATCTCGCAGCTTGCTATTGGTGTAGCTGCTTGACTGATTGTTTATGAGTGGTTGTAGGTACAGACACAAATTTTCTGGAGAGGAGTCTTTTTTATCTTTTTTATCTCATAAATGTTTTGTATCCGCTCCTTAAAACGTTCTTTGCATGTTCAAGATCCAGCTGAGCATTTACTTCTGCAAATGAGTAGATTCAGATGGGTCTTGCTTCATTTGCTTTGGTTTCTTGAGCCGAGTCCTTTCCTCGTAAGCAAAGGGAACTTGAATGGTGTTATAAAACATTGCACTGTATATCGAGTGGAAAGGAAGGTTTTGGGCAAGATAAAGTTTTACCAACCATTCTGGTTGTCTTGGGCATGTAAATGGCCCCTGCTATTGTAGTATCTCAGTGGCTGACAGTCTTTTAGTGTAGTTACACTTGCAGCATCTCTCTGAGATAAAGCAGCCCTACTATCCTTATTTTATAGCCGGAACTAGGAAAATACTGTGATGCCATCTAGCATGATAAAAATTACGTGAGAAACTGAGCCTTTGTGGTATAAAGATAGTAAAACGTCCCTGAAAAACATTAAAAATTCTAGCTACGCGCTGGACTTGAACCTTGCTTTCTGCTAGGACAAGTATAGGCTGTTGTCTAGTTCAGAGGAGACTTTTCTCTTTGATGTGCAATGCAGTAAGTGTTGAGATGATGCCTTTTAGCCTCGCAGGAGGCGTTGGCAACAGCCATGCACCAGGTAGAACTCCCAAGTGACCATTTGAAGGTGGAATTGCATAGTGCATGGTGAAAAATAAGTACATATTAGCTCAAGCCAAGGTTAGGCAACCTGTTTTATCGTTAAGCGCTCTGTCGAGAAGACTTGTTTATGCTGTAGTTACACGATCGCTTAGTCCACCGTAAGTAGTTTTTGCCGTATTAGTTGTCAGCGAACACGAACACTGGAGCTGGCACATGGAGGGACTAGGAACAAGCAGCCAGGGACGGGGAGGCAGCGGTACTCCCTTCTCAGTGGCAGTGCACGTTATTCCAGATGAAATACTCTCTGTATTGAAGACCAAAGTCCACATACAGCCTTCACTGTCCTTCTCTATCTAAATACTGTTTCAGGGTCTGATGGCCCTTGATTCCCCATATACCGGCATCGTGAACTACAAACAAGTGGCCCAGTCCTATGCTGAAGACTTCCAGGAAGCAGGTGGGACGATCTTGACTGATTTTGAAGTTACAAACATGGAGATGGCTAAAGAAAGTTCTTCAGAAAGCGAAGATGGTAAGGCTGGCTTTTGCCCTCCATTTACTACAGTCCTGCCAAAGATTTTGTTCAGAACACATCTGCTTTAACTGAAATCACGTTTCTGAACATTTCTGTTTCATAGGGAAGAGGCAAAAGGCAAAATTATGTTAGAGTATCGAGCAAGCTCACTTTTTTTTTCTCAGGCAGGTCACCCTTCAGCTGAAACATTTAATGCTGATGGAAGAAAATGACAGTAAAAGAGAGGAAGTAGGTTGTTTTCCCCCTATTACAATCAGATTTAGCTGAATATTGCATGTGTATTCTTGTGATAGTGCTTTTTGTTTATCCTGGAAGATAGGTTGGATCAGTGCTGGTACACATATGGAAGAATTAAAAAAACCCAACACCCCTATTAATTCATAAATACAGTTATGTCCAGCAGTATCAGTTATATTAACAGTAGTTCCATAGCTGGGAGATCTTCCAGTGGAAGAACCCTTAATCATGACAAGTTGCTTGTTCAGTCAGTCTTCTGTTACATACTCTATTAATTCCTTCTCTTGTCTAATTCTATTATAGGACTGAAATACCCAGTCATTGTTAGGAACTCAAAGGTAAGAACTAAGTTGTAGATTTAATTGCTTAATAGGAAGCTATTTCTCCTTTTCTTAAGAATTTTTGTTGAGTCCTTGTAGATTTATCAGCTCTCTAAATAAAGTTAAAAAGCTGCTGTTGAGTAACATGATCGCTGTCATCTAGGACTGCTTTTATAAAACAACAATCAATTCTTAACACAGCATATGAGCATGTTCAGATTTTACTGTGTACTGGGAATAATAATGAAAGTATATCTTTCCGCTGCCTGACTTACGTTTGACTGTGTATGACCCTTATCTTCTTTATTTGCACATTCTTACGCTGCTTGTTTCCAAGGACTCCTTTTATGACTTACTCATTTGGTGACAAACACCTATTTTCATGTTTGCTTTTGGTCTTTGGCATCTATAAAAAAGATAAGGGGGCATTTAGAATCATTTTATCATCAGGAAGCCACAAGCTAATTTAGTAAAGCAGGTGCAAGTCAGTTAATGCCGCACAGGAAATGTAGTTGTAACCTTTTCACCTTCAGGAGAGAATACCTGGACTCTTCTTTGTGTGTGTGGGGAAAGATAAACAAACAAACAAAAAAACCTGGCCTCACTCCCCCCCAATAGTTTTTAAAGTTAGTGCTGCTGCTTTCTTGTTCTGTGTCTGCTCTTTCATTAAAAAGTATCTTCCAAAATCTGTTAGATTCTCTCACCAAATACTGATATTTTTAAAATTATTTTATTATTTTTATGGAAACATACTTGGTTTGAAGGAAAAACCCCATAGTGTTTGAAAACAAATACTGTGAGCTAGCTAGATAGTAGTTTGTGATTTTATTTATTTATTTAGATGGTAAGGTGTTTAGATATTTCACAGCTCTCCATAACCGTGTGCTATGAACTTGCGTGGCTTTCTGGATAAACTACCGTTCGGTAGCGTGACTGCTCCCAGTGCGTGGGGTGAAATCCGTTAACAGCCTTATTTAACCAAATGCACTGGGGTTGCTTTGCTACCCCGCCTATCCCGCACCCTCTGGCAATGCAAACCTGGCCAGGGAGCTGCAGGCTAGCCTGGCATCAGGGCCTTGTAGGAGGCAGAGGGGAGGGAGTGCCAGGGGGAGACGCTTGGTTTGCTGGAGGAGCAGAGCTCATCAGCTTTGACGCTGACGCCCTGTACGGTAGGCATGCTTGTGTAATGCACGAGGCTCTGTGTTCTGGGAGTTGAACCTGAAGGTAGTCTGAGAATTGATGACGTTTCTTTTTTTTATTCTGTTTTTTTCTTCCCCTCCCTGCCCCTTTTCTATAAAGATTCTTCCAGTCCTGCCTGCCCAATGAATTGCCGCTTTAGGATAGTTCTCCTCCAGGGAATAAAGGAGAATATTATAAAGAATTAAATGAAACATTTGATTGTTTCTGCCTCCTTTTGAAAATATGGTTGGTTTTCTTTCCGGTCTTGACTCATTTTTTTTCCAAGGCTTGTAGGTGATGGGTGGTTTTTTTAGTAGATATGTTGAATTTTTGTGTGTTTTGTTTTGTTTTGTTTTTTTTCCACAGGGTGAGGAAATCTACTGCACGCACATTGTGACCTGTGCAGGACTTTACTCAGACCGCCTGTCTGAGATCAGTGGCTGCAGCCCTGAACCTCGTATTGTACCCTTCCGTGGAGATTATTTGGTGCTAAAGCCAGAAAAGTGCTATATGGTTAAAGGAAATATTTATCCGGTATGTTTGTCCGGATTTATCCTCTCTTGTTTGTCTTTCACAGGGTATTCTAAGAACTGGTAAAACTACAGAAATAAGGGCAGTATTACATGGTTATTTCTGTTAGACTGCAGATAGTGATGCACAACACGTGGATGTAGATTCAGTTGCTTTCTGACAGGACAGCTTGTTTTTGTTAATTCTTGAGGAACAGGTAGAAGTACCATGTGGGAAATTATTGCCAGTAATTTTTTTTGTTTGTGGTTTTTTTTAATAGGGAAAGAATAAAACATTTAGCGTGATAGCCACACACCCACAAATGCCTGGCTTCTTTCATTATGTTATAAAATAAATCTGTAGGCAGGATTCAGAAGTCAATGAGGGACAACAGTAAATAATGAATTACTTAGACATAGGGTTTAATCTTGTGTGCTAATACCCAAAGCTCGGATTTAGATATTTGCTTCTCAACCTCGTCTTTGAATTAGCTTTACTTTATACAGACAAAAAATAGACATGGGAGGAAAAAGACGAGCTTTCTACCATCTAATGTAGACAAATAGTGTGATGAAGAGGAACAGTTCCAGACAGAAAGTGAAGATAGCAAGCAAGGAGAGAGAATCCCTAGAGCAGCATTTTAGTTAATTCATGCAGTGCGTTGAAATATTCAATTAATAATATGAAAATTCATATATGAAATATTAACTTTGCCTGCTTCATATATATTAATAATATGAAAATTCATATATGAAATATTAACTTTGCCTGCTAAACACTGGAGCAGGTCGCCCTAGGGAAATTGTGGAACCCTGGGCATTGGATGTTTGTCTGACCTCTTCTCACCTGGGAATGATTCAGGATTCTGTCTTGGGATGGGAGAGAGGAACTGGCTGGGATGGGAGGGTACCTTCCAGCCTTGTTTCATGGCTGCGTGAGGATAGTTTGTACCCTTTGAAATTTTTTGTTATGGCCAAATATGGTAATAAGGTTAGAAAATTGCACCACTCTTAGTGGTAAGTTACCAGAAATGTAATGTAGTTTGTGGAGTGGTTGCACTAAGCTTTGAAAGTATTAAAAGCATATTTTTAACAGGAAAAACAGTGCACTGAATACAGAAAAGGAACGTATCTTGAAGCAATTTTTAGTCGTAACAGTACTGTTTTTTGAGAAATACCCAATACTTGCTTATTTTCAGACTATAAGACAGTCGCCTCTGTAGTCACCTTTTCTAAATAGCTAAAGATCTTGAAGTGCCAGCTCATGAAGAGATGTGCTTATTTAATACTTATATCTGCATATAGACAGCTTATTTCTGTTTCAGCCTTCGCACACAATTACACTGTATTCCATTCGCAAACAAAAAAGAAACTGCAGATACTTACTATTAGCATTAATCAGGCTTGCTAACTGCATGTTGTTTTGAGCAATACAGGAATGGTGAGGTTTTCCTAATATTTTATAACCTATTTTATTGCAGTATAATTACTACTGGTGAATAGCATTAGTGTGTCGTTGGTTTTGTTGTGGGTTGATTTATATCCTGGGAAATCATGTGTACTTTTTTTTCTGTTGTTTGTTTTGCTTTTACCTAAGATGCAGTCTTACTTCGCCCTGCTCTGTTCTTCAGTGTTTTAAATTAGCTACGTGCTATAACTGCACGATTAACAAACAGAAAAACCAGCGCAGGAGCCAATTGTATGGTTATATGACTTGAATTTTGTTGTAGTGATTGGAAATAAAATGGCAAATTTACTTCCTTTTTCACTTGTTCGTTTAAAAATAGTTATTTCCATTTATTGGGAGGACAACTCCTTTACTGTGTTTTAGTTTGTTTTATTCACTCTCTCACACAATAAACTGTAAACGTCTGTACTTTTCTCCTCACAAATGTTTCCTGGACGAGTTTGTTGACTTGAGTGGTTGCATGGCTGTTTCTCTGGTCTGGTTTGTAACGGCTGTAATAACTGTTGTATCCTGCTTTAGGTTCCCAACCCTCGCTTCCCTTTTCTGGGATTTCATTTCACACCAAGAATGGATGGCAGTGTTTGGCTTGGTCCTAATGCAGTACTAGCCTTTAAGCGAGAGGGCTACAAGTTGTTTGACTTCAGCACTGGAGACTTTTTAGATGCTGTAATGTACAGGTAATGTCTTTTTGTCTGCTGAAAGCAGTTATTTAAATGTCAGCTTGTGACTCCATGGAAGCTAGTTCTTGTCGAAAAGCCTGCTTTTGCCAAGTTTTTGGTGCGTTTAAAGGCAGTTGTGCTGATAAGGGTGGACTTCTCCAAGACACTTGACTTCATGTGATCTATATTTGAATTTTCATGAACTACCAAGGCATGTCTCAGCTGGTCTGAGAACGTGGCTGCTCGTCGGAAGGTACTGGTGAGCCATGGTGCTACTAGTGGAGGTCTTCCAGGATTGGTTTTGGTCCAATGCAGTGTAATATTTTAATCAACTTAGACAGTGTGATTAAAATACCTGCAGAGGATGCTCGGAAGAGAGAACACAGAGTGGTCTGAATTGCCATGTTAAACTTTATCAGACCATCAGTATACATTTAAAAAATGTCCATGTGCAAGGAAATACATTAAGGGCCACGAATGCAGGCCAGGAAGCTATCTTAGAAAGCGTGTCAGAGGAATTAGGAATCATTGCTAAAACTGCAAACATAAATGAACAGAAGATTTGTAGAAGTCGAGAGAAATCTTGCTTCTCTATGAGGGGCCGGACAGACCATTACCAAGTGCTCAATTTTAGAAATTAGACTTGAAAAAGCATGTGAAAATATTGTGGAGGATCCAAGGAGAGGCTGAAAAACAGGTCAGGGAGCTGGAAAATAGCTTTCTGGCCAACAGCTCAGCTTAATGCAGTTTATTAAAGTAAAGAGTTGAAAGCATCTTGATCGTTGTCTATAGATTTTTATACTGGAAGACTTGAGGAAAGCAAAGCAAGCAAACAAGATTTGCGAAGGCATAGCAAGATTCATTGACTGAAAGCTGAGGGTTTTACGAGTGTGACAATCTCTTCAGAATGATTGTGGACAGAAGTCTCAAGCGGCATGTCTGTCTTCCCTCGTGCACGTGGGTTTTCAGTCTCTTGCCATTTGACTGGACCAGAGAAAAATCCTGGGCATAGGAAGGACTGGAGTTCAGAGTTGATTCTCAAAGAATTTGGACTCGATGATCTTAGAGGTCTTTTCCAACCTTAATGATTCTATGATTCTAAGAAAGAATGTGAATGCAACGCTACAGCTCTGTAAACAAGGTGTGTTGAAGCAGGGAAGGACAAACATGTATTTCTCGAGTAGAAAGCATGATCCGATTACTGATGTTGGGAATGGGAACTTTTGCCATGCAGTTGCATTTGCTACCTTCTTGGACCGTGTTAGTTTGACATGGCTGCATTTATTACGGAAGATTTGTTCTTACTGCGGGTATTTTTTCTCTCTACAGCGGGTTATGGAAGCTTGTGCTGAGAAACTTGTCTTACGGACTGAGTGAAATGTACAGAGCGTGTTTCCTTAGCGCACAGGTGAAGCAACTTCAGAAGTTCATCCCTGAGGTCACCGTCAATGATGTACTCAGGTAAAGAAAACTTCATGTTAGTAACACCCAGTGGCCTGTTAAATCTCTTATTTTTAACAGTAGCAAATGTAGCATTAGCTTACTCCCTTCCTCCACCAAAATATGCTACCAAAGCATAGAAGCATTTAGATACTTTCTACAGAAAGGCCTTTTATATTGTGTTTGCTTGTGTATAGGCAAGTTTGATGAATATTTGTGTGACCTTCTACACTCTCCATAGGCTGAAAGTCACAGTTGTGACATATTCATTAAAAAGAAAAAGTCTCTCCATCCTAGTGACACATTCAGTAGCCTGAACGTAATCTGAGTTCACAAAGAAAGCAAAACACTAACGAAATTCAGAGTGGAAGCCAGACTGTGAGTTGCTACTGAGTGAATATTGACTTAGTTTAATCATCTCAATAAAATTGTATTCAGCTTCTTACTGTGTGGAGAGAGAAACTAATTCAAAGGAGTTTAGAAATGCTAAGGAACTGAAGAGACTTGTGAGGAAAGATGAGGCATTTAAGTACATGGAGGTGGGTTTAACTGTCCAAACATTTGCAGGGAGAAAATCCAGAATAAGAAAAGCTCAGGCATGGTAAAAGGGCGTTATCCAGCTCAGGCAGTATACCGTTGGCATGAAATTCGCGTTTGACAAGGCTTGCTATTTCAAAACAAAGAGTTTCCTTTTCGAAAAGACAGGGCATGTGGGGAGGAGAGTAACTTCACAACCAGGAAAGATACAGAAGATCCTCTGCTTGGCTACCTGCCCTTGTTTTACGGTAACGACTGCGAGACATCTCCCACTCTGCCTCACAAGTGTTAAACTTCCCTGTGCTCCCCCAAAAGCCGGACTGGTCTTTGACTCAACAGTCTGCCTTCCTTACTGTTTCCCTGGGCACCTTCACAAGGTCAGAGCAGAATTAATTTTCTGACTTCAGAAAACGTTTTCTTTCTAATGGTGAGCTCCTCCTTTATTTTGCAGGGGTCCATCCGGAGTGAGAGCTCAAGCATTGGACAGTGACGGAAATTTGGTAGATGACTTTGTGTTCGATGGAGGCAGTGGAGATATCGGAAGCAGAATTCTTCATGTCAGAAATGCCCCTTCTCCTGCTGCTACCTCTTCCCTTGCCATCGCAGAAATGATTGCAGATGAAGTGAAGCGAAGATTTGAATTGTGAATGATTGACGGGTGTAGTGCGGTTTTACCCCTCTTGTATGTGTAGCAGCTTGTCTGCATTGAATGAACTCTGCAGCCTTTAATGACAAAGATAAAACAGGCAACGTGTTGCTTGCAAGACCAGCGCTGGTATAGCTGTGCAGTGCAAAACCAGCATTTGAAATGTTTGCCTTTGCCAGCCCACAACTTCTCATCTTCACGAATAAAGGAGTTACGGTGCCTGGTAAGACCTGGTGCGGTACAGCCATCTGCACGAAAGAAGCAAACAGCCCCGTTTGCAGTAAAGGTTCGTTCACCTGAGCAGGACCAGGCTGTGGAGGGGCTGGTGCCAGGCACAACGCGAGGGTCTCCCGGGACCGTAGTGGGCCGTTAGGTGGAGCAGGAAGAGCCTCTGTGGTGGAGTTGCCCACGGGGACTTCCCCTGCTTCTGATCTAAACGTTGCCTCCTCCTCGCACTCTGGAGAGGTGGTCGGTCCGCTGAAAAACCACAAGCACGGCGTGGTTGTCTGTGTGCTTTCTCTCTGACTCCATTTCAATTGGAGTCTACGGTCCCCTAGCTTACATTGAAGTGATGGAGATAGAAGGATTAGCCCTGCTTACAGGTTCTGCTGATATGGAATTAAGGGCTTTATCAGAGACTGAAAACAATACTCAGAGCCTTCTACATGAATCTAGAGTATTTCAGAGAATAATAAGCCTAATGAGGGATTACCAAATCCAAGTCAATTTAGATATGCAATTCAGATACACTATCTGATCGCCATCTCTATTTTTGTATAGACCTGAAATTAAAATGTATTCATAAACAGTCATTTTTTGTTTAACTTAAATCTGGGAAGTCAGCACTCATCAGAAACTACTTCAGTGGGTTTGGGTTTTTTTTTTTTCCCTTTGAATACTGGTAATGCAAAAGGAGCTTATCTTTGTACAGCATGTTGAGCAATCCAGTGGAAATGGTCTTTGTAAAAGCAAACGTGAAGGGAGGGAAGCTACAGAAACCTGTTGTAATTGAGTCATGCTGCTTCCCTTGGAGCCCAAACAGCAGTGAGTCAGGAAGGCTTCCCATTTCCCACATGGCTGACAAGAGGGGAGCTTAGAAAGTGCTGGTTACTCTTCTGAGCTCTTACTGATAGTTGAAGTTTTATCAAAGGTGCACCTGGAAGAGTATCTGTGTGGAGAAACTGCTTTAAACTATAGAGAGATGTTGAACAAGTTTGGTACTAAGCTAACTGAGTATCTTGGTGTGTTCTGCATAATTGTTACAAAAAAGAATTATGTGGCCCCAGGGACAAAGTACTTGAGAATACTTTTAAAGCAGATGTTCACAGGATGTTGGGTAATACAGATAATTGTGGGTAGTTTGCTACCAGGCAATTTGCCATACTCTTTTTTTTCTTTTTTTTTTTTTTTTAAAGTTACTGTCTATTCCTCCGGCATGCGTGAGGGAGTATGTTAGCATAGGAGGTCAGGTGTGCTAGCTGATGATTTTACTGTACAGAGCTGAGCCGGTTTTGAGAGAGAAAGGGCTTAACCTGTCTTTTTTTTTTCTTCCCCCCCCCCCAGTGACATCTACTTTACCGGAAAAGTGACTCCCAGATAAGGGCAACCTGAAAATTCAAATAATTATCCCTTCAAAGAAAAGCTTTGGTCATTATTCGTGGCCACAATAACACTAGACAGAGATTCAGATATTCCAAATGCTAAAATGCCATATGGCTGTGTAAAAGTTGTATCTTCACAGTGGAACAATCGTTATCTTCACTCCCCGCCAGAAGTGTTGCCTATCAACAGTAAATACTACAAAAGGATTGCAAAAGCCACTTCCTCCCACATGAGGTGTGGCCCTAACATGTATTAACAGAGTAAAGAACATTAAAATGTAAAGCAGTCATATACTGTGGTGAATCTGAAGTCAGCACATTTAACTGTGCAGCCTGCTGTGCTTTTTACTCTCAGGAGGCGTTATTTTGGGGTAGAGTTTAACTGAAGCTTTTAAATTACCAATCTTTATGTAGCATTCTGTGAAATATTTATATTTTTTGAGATAGTTACAAACATTTTTTAAATTAATAACTTCAGAGAATTATGACAGTGGGGTTTCATACATAAATCTTGTTGCCCACAAAGTGTGAAAAGGTATGAATATATTTTCTAAAAGGGTCTAATTCACTTGGATGGCTGAATAACTGTGCCTTTCTCTATTATGATAAAAATGGTGGGGCTTTTGGTTTTGTTTTTTTTTTAATTGCCCGTAAGTCTGTGTATTTCTCCTGACTTACAGAAAAGTTTCACTGCTATTTGCTAATTCTCATCTGAATTAGGCAGGATATAGCTCTATATGATAGGAATTACTTTATTTTAGGGGGGGGGATACATGACCAAACTTGTCTTCCTAAAGTACCTGTATCTTATCTATGCTTGTCACACTTCACGGTTTTTTCTCACGCAGGCATGTATGCAGTGGGCAGAACTAGTCTTAAGCCTGATCTGGACCTGTAATGGCATGTGGAATGGTAATTCTTGAAATTCTGAATAAATGCATTAGGACAGCTTTGGACAAACACAATCTGTTCCCCCAGAGTGTCCCGTAAGGTCAGTCCTAAACTCTGGGAAGAGTTATGGCGTATTACATCTTTTTTTAAAATATTGCAAAGAAATGATATAGTGCCCCGTGTCATGGCTTACTGGGTGGCTGCTCTTGGGGAAAACGAGCTCCTTTAGGGCACTTCATTGCGTCCGGTCACCACTGCCACACCTTGGAGCAGTTCAGGCTGTCTGGAGAACAGAGGAATGTCGCATCCTGAAGAACGCGGGTGTTGCGGGGCTGCGGAGGTGGGAATAAAGCGCTCGGTTGAGGGGCTCACCCAAGCTGGAACGCCTGCTTCCAGAGCAGGCATCCTGGCTGTCCGAACTGCAGGTTCGTGGATCTCACCGCGGTTACCCTGAAGTTGCACTCGGGATTACCTTTTTCTTTTTGCTCACAGTTTGGGTTTGACGAACAAGTGTCTTCCTACAGAAATAAATATTTTGTTGGAAACCTCCCAGGCTGCTCTGATGCGGCAGGAAGGTTAAGAGCACAGAGCAAAAGGAGCTGTCACTGCCTCTGCAAGCGCCTGTCTCCTCCGGGAAATCTGTCATAACAAAGGATCGCACTCTTGCTGGCAGAAAGGCACTTTTTTCTGATTTAATTTATCTACTCCCTTTGTAGACAAGTCTTAAAAGGGGGGCGTTAGATAAGGCGTGCGATTTGAATACAATGCCATGGGAAGGGAAACGAGGGAAAGTTTGGCTGGAGAGGTTGTTCAGGGGTTGGAGGGAACAGTGACAGCCGGCGTCTCCAGGGTAGGGAGGAAAACTGCCTCTAGGCAGGGAGAAAACCAGCCTCCAGGTAGGGAGGCTGCTGTTGGCAGGTTACTGAGCGCCACACCGCAGCTGCTGCTGGCGCCTTCTCCCAGGTTCTGGTTGAGCCTTCCCGCAAGGGTGAGGCTGTTTCCAGTAAGGCGAAAGGAAGAGGGAGGGAAGGAGGGAGCCAGAGGACCTGCACAGCAGGTGGCAGAAGGGACAGGGTGAACTGCTGTCGGCCTCTGCAGCCCCGCATGCTGGAGAGGCAGATGCCACGGGGAGGGTAGCGTCCGGCATCGCTGCAACAAGCGGCTGCCCGGGAGTTCAGGGTCGTAGCGTGGCGCCACGACTTCGCCCGACTCCGGATAAATTAATTAACCCCCAGCCCGCGCTGGGTGCGGAGAGGCAGCTCCCCCCTGCGGGGCGGGCGGCGGAAGGGGGGTGTGCGGGCTCTCCGCCCC